AGATAGATAGATAGATAGATAGATAGATAGATAGATAGATAGATAGATAGATAGATAGATAGATAGATAGATACAAAAATGTTAGAAAAATGCTAGAAAAATTATACTTTAAACTTACTGGTCTCTCATTCCCATCTAGTACATCTTCCTTGGTGAAAAGTCGAAGGCAATCCATCAAACTCACTTCTCCTGAAGTCTGAGGGGGAAAAAAAATGGAACATGCACATTAACACAAACATGCTGTCATGTCAGTAAGCGTGTATTTGAGCATGTTATTCTTCATATTAACCTTAGCGATAGGCAGGGACAGATCCCAGAATGGATCAAACACAGTTGAGCAGAAGCCACACTCATTACAAGTCAGAGAACTTTTCAGCTGACCAACAAACAGATCTGTGAAAAACAAAACAAAAAAAACATTAGCACTTTATAACCTGAACAGGGAACACACACACACACACACACACACACACACACACTGTAGTGTTAATATTGCAGGTCAACTCACCGACTACTTTGCTGTCCTCACTCTCCAGGTACTTGTTCCACATTCTCTTGCCTTTTTCGTCGTCCCTGTGGATAAAACACACTTAATTTAAGACCCCAGACAGATTGCAACAGTTCAACCCCACACTACAGGTGATTCATCTGTTACATCAATCACCACATCATATTTTCGGTACTGAATGAAATATGCATAGCTTTTCAAAAGTTTGGGGTTGCTAAGATTTTGGAATATTTTTGAAAGGAGTCTCTTATGCTCACTTGCATTTTTGATTAAAAACAGTAAAAACAGTAATATTGTGAAATGTTAGTACAATCCAAAATAGGGGTTTTCTATTTTAATATATTTTAAAATGTAATTTATTTCTGTGATGGGAAAGAAATCATTCTAATATGCTGATTTGGTGCTCAAGAAACATTTCTTATTATTATCAGGGTTGAAAACAATGGTTCTGCTTAATATTTTTGTAAAACCATGATACGTTTGCTGTTCAAAAGAACAGCATTTATTTGAAAGAGAAATCTTGTATAACATTATAAATGTCTTTACAGTCACTTTTAATTAGCTAAATGCATCCATGCTGAATTAAAGTAATCATTTCTTTTTAAAAATATTACTGACTCCAAACTTTTGAACAGCTTTATAGGTTTTTAGAATAAAGCGGTGCATTTACTTACGAGACGTGATCAAAGTCCTCCATGGGTGATCTGGGTTTCACTGTCACTCTGTTTACTTCATTATGAAGCCCATCCAGCAGAAACCGCAAGAACTCCTGAGCATCCTGCTGACTACAGGACAAGAACAGAGAAGCCGATTTTTAAGAGGGAGTTTCAGCTGGTTTAAAACTAAATATAAAAGAATGCAAGTAAAATATGAGTCTGCATGATTCAAAAGTTTTTCCTGTAACTGTAACTTACTTGTAACCAACAAATCGAGGGGCATATTTCTGAATCTGCATTTTGAAGTCAGAAGGGCTGATGGCCTCACTGCTAGATGATGTCCAAAGACTCTGAGTGAGTTTGGCAAACTCTGAAAGCAGAAAAACACACACATTTGGAGGCATATGACTAAGACACAGGACCCAAAGGCTGTCTGATATGTATGATAAAACAAATGCTCCACTATATGAACTGATAAACGTGTCTCTTACCTTCCATCAGTGCAGCTTTGGCCCTGCAGTTGTTGTTGAGGTCAGTGCGGTGTGTGTTACGCAGACAGTAGTCCCTCAGGTCATGAGTGTTGCTCAGACACTGCAGAATGGAGTTCATGAAACACTGCAGAGACACATTCGAAAAAGGGAGAATGAGATGATTACTCAGCAGTCCTCTGAGACAGAAGTAGCAACAGATCGTTTCTTCTGTATTGAAAAGTACATCCGAGTGTAACAGATTTTTTTTTTAATGAAACATTTAAATTTAAATTTTAACAGGAAAGAGAAAATAATTATCCCCTTCGTGCCGACTTTAAAGGAAAAGTTCTTACTAAAATGACAATGCTTAAACAAATTCAGTTCTTCAAAACAGACGGATAGAATGAAGTCTTTTTTGAACGAAGCTTGCATCGACATAAGGGTTAGTATATACTGACAGAATTGTTATTTTTGTATGAACTATAAATAGAACCATAGATTCTTTGCTTAGAAATACTTACAGTATTTCCTAGATTCCTGAGGCCCACCAAACCCTGAGCATTCTTTGAGTTCTATGAGAGAAAAACAATAAGAAAGGGAAGAAATAGAATGAAACAGCTTTCTAAGATGAACTTTGAATCCAATGACACTTGAGAGTTATACCAAAAAATGTTTTCATAAATTCAAATATGACTAAAGCACATGACTCACTTTTAATTAGTTTGGCACCGATACTGACAGTGAAGTGAAAATGCATGTTTAAGAAGGGAGTTACTGGAGACTTTTTAATTGCATGCATGACACAAAAAATGTTTCTAATTATATAAAATTACATAAAAGCATACTGTACATGTCTGTATTGTATAAGTGAGTGTGTACAGTATTATGTTTAGAGGACAATGTGTGTGAGCTGACCAAAGCATTCTCTCTGGGCTATTAAATGGCATGCTAGCAGATTTAGACAGAGACCCCTGCTGTTGAAAACTTGACGCAAACAAATGATGAACCATCAGTGTTAGGTCAGTTTTTACTCATATAGAGATATATGAAAATCTAACATTTTCATCTCAAATTCAGACAGCTGGGAATGATGATGATTTCACATGTTTGATATTCTCGCCATAAGTGCTCAGCCTGTTGACCATGACATAACACGGATCGCTCCAGAGAACATGGACAATGTGTCAGAGGTTTCTCAGTATGAATCTCACGAATGAAACTGACACACTCAGAATCAGTGATATCAAAGTCTGGAATAGCAGCGCTCATTTTCATCTGCGTCATTCACTGATTGCAGTGTTAACTATGTGATTTTACAACGGTGTCAGTGATGCTTGAAAGAACTCAACGAAGTTGCACACATCCCCTTGGACAGGTGATTTTAATGTCTGAGTGTTTGAGAAAGCATGTGTGAAACTTAAAACAATTGCTGCAGGTGGGTGTTAAGCAGCTTTGAGATCAGTGTTGCTATTGTTAACTAAAACTATTACAAATCTTTTTTGTTAATTAAAATAGAGCTGAAATACAACAATAATATAATAAAACAGTGCAAATATTAGATGAAAAACCTAAACTTAAAAACTTAAATGAAAATTTGAAATGTTGCCTTGGCAACTAACTGAAATAACAATTAAAGCTAAATAGAAATTTAAAAACATTAATAAATAAAAATGACAAAAGCACATAACAAAATGACTAGAAAGAAAACTAATTATAAAACCTCATTCACCTAATATCATTAATAAATGTTATAACAGTATATGAAATAACTAAAATACTAAGATCTCTGCTTGAAATATGTCAAAAGATATGAATTTTGGTGTTGGTATTCTCTCTATAGATGAGTCACAGGACAGCATGTGATATTAGTGATACAGCATGTTGAGTGTGTCACAATTTGTACTCTAATGGCACTATTTATGGCTGTTTCATATTTAAGAGGTCAATAACAATCCATACACACATTCACACACTACACATGCAGTAGAGTGTCATACATCTGCCAAACAGATTTTATATTTTTATTTATTTATTTATTTTTACATAGAATAAGTCATCTTTCTCAGACACCACATTACATTTAGTACTATTTGAGCCATGTTGTTTTCACGTTTTTCTGGATATATATCATGGTTAAACCATGGTATTCTTTGAAGTATCTTGAAGTAACATGTAAATGCTATGTATAAAGTATTCATTCCGTACCATGGTATATATCAAAGTACTATGGTATACCATCACTGTCAGAGTATGTTCTTGTAAGGGACCAATCAGAATACACTTCAATTAAGCGTAATGAAGTGCACTAATCAAACACCTTCTATTAGCACCTCTGAGACTAGATGCATCAGGTTCAAACATGTTCAGCTGCGAGTTATCCCAGGAGTTTTTCTGTTATTCATACAGTGGTGTGAAAAAGTCACAGGCCCCCTTCCTGATTTCTTATTTTTTTTTATGTTTGTCACACTTTAATGTTTCAGATCATTTTTCACACCACTGTATATTCATCCAAACATCTGATAAGATTTTTCTTCCCCAAAGAAGATGAGAGAGAGGGAACAGATGGTCCAAGGCCTCACTCCGCTGCTGAGTCGGTCTCTGGCTTTCACACCCAGCTCTTAAACCAAACAGACTGGTTTGGCAACAGCCAGCACCCAGCAGCAGCCATGGATACGGCAAGCGAAGGGAGTTCTGCCTCAAAAGCGATTGGGCAACGAGAGGACAGCAGGATCTCACACTGGCTGTCTTTTCAAAGATCTTCAGAGAGCCGTGAGCTAATTGGCTGGCGCGAGTTGAAAGCGAGCGAGTAAGAACACTGTGTCCTGACCATAGTTTCTGGAAGCCATGGCTTTCACCAGCATAAGAACTCTATGTGCTCTGCTGCCAAAAGGCCGGTCACATGCATATACTGAGACACAAGCATCTTATTCAAGAAGACTCCTAAGACTTAGCTCTTTTATACCTTAATGTGCATTTACGCATCTATTCACCGTCCTTCTTGATTATTTTAGACACATTTGAATACAGTTTATAGCAGCTGAAATTTGTCCTATATTTCAGTACACATTTGGGACAGATTGGGACACCTGAAAGGAGCTATCTGATCAGGGCGGCGTAACTCTAACTCAACCATCGATGTTGATGATAAGCCACGACAGTTCACTACACTGTTATCTTGACAATGATTGACAATCTAGATGGGCGGGATACAGAGAGTTTGTGCAAGGTCACAAGCATGTGAAGAACAGGACCTTTAGTGATTCTTGGAATGTAATCGGCGAGATATGCTGATACGATGCATTCCTTCAGAAACGCACTGCTTACTTACCATTTGTTCCTGAATATTACACAATGTGACACTCTGATTGTTTCTTTGTTGCATAACAAACACTGGTTACACTGGAAATGTGGTTATCAACCACTCCAATAATTGATGTTATGCCTGTAATCTACTACAAATAGGGGCAGCGTTCCCATCATTAAAAGCCACAACCGTTTTAGATGGATTCTTACTCTTATGGATTATTCATGTTGTGTAAATCTAGCTGCCATTAACTGTTTCTTTTCCTTATTCTGTATTTTTCTATATAGTCATTATTTCTAAGACTGATCAAAAATCGTGAGATCCATCATTATTAATATATTTACAACCATATTTTTAACACTAAGAAATACAAACAAATCATATACAAATAAATTGCAAATAATTGCTGTTTATATAGTTTCCTTCCAACATGTTTTTAAGAGTATATACATCGAAAGGTTGCTTTGGAACAGTATTAATTTTGAAAAACCACAAATAACTAATTTATAGTACTATTTGACATCGAACGCCACTCTAATATTGGCTAGAAGCTTAATAAAATGTAAATATATGAGAAGTAATACATTTCTTTTTTTACTCATAAAATAGACTAGGCTACAATATATAGTTGTCATTATAATTAAAAAAAGGGATCAGCATATCTGGGGGTCCTAGGCATTAAAAGATTAACAAGAAAACATTTTCAACATTTTTACAACATCTGTTTAGGCTAATGTATGAAATCCAAAGGTCATTCGAGTCTGAATGTGTACTCCAGCCCAAATCTGACAGAAAAACAGATGTCATCCTAACAATTTGCCTTTCTTTCTAGGCTAAATATGGCCCAAAGGTGTGATTTAGAAAGATCAACCAGCAGCACTGCACAAAGAGGTGGTGACATGCCTCTAATTAACATTATGTAGTCTGAACTACATCATAGACGATTCAGTATGGTTCTAAATAAGACTGCTTAATGGTACCCTGGCTTCTCAATGAGTAATGCGCTGCCTACTCAGCGCGACGCAACAGCTTGCACAGGTAGCCAGCGGCTTTAAACGATGTCCAGCGTTACGTCAACGTCACAACCCTCGCTACGAACTTTTACATATTTTTTTTTTATATCGCAGGCCGTAATACCGACGCGACAAACATAAAGCTCCCAATATGAAGCAGCAATACGAGTTTGAAAACGCTTAAGTAAAAGCTGACGCGAGAAAGATGGTCACTTGGCAAGGTCAGAGACAGCAGCATCTGTACATGTGCTTCTGTTTGGAGATCTGGACGCTTTCGGGGAACAGGTTCACATGATTGCCACTTCAGATGCTACTACATTTCTCTAAAGTGAATGAGACTTTGTCCCTGAAAGGTAAACCTTAAAAACACATAGGGTGGATATATCAATAAAGTAGAAATTCAATAATAGTGTCTAAAACCATCCAAGGGACTGAATTCAGGGCACGCACATAACTTTTATTTCAGAAGAAAATACTCTTCCTTTATTCCAGATGCAACTGTTGCTCATTGCTCAGGTACTTCTTACATTTATCTCACATCTCCATCATTGGGACTGAAACATCTTTCTCACCCCAGCACTGCACATCTGGGATGTTTTTCTTTCTTAACTCACCCAAATCCAATTATAATCGAGGTTTCTAAATTGCGAAACAGCTATGTTTGTATCCCCTACCTAACCATTTCCTAACATAAACAATATGAAAAACAAATGAGCGTTCATATTACAAAATATTTCCTCTGGTGGTAACGAGTTTCACCTCTATTTTAAACGCAGTATGCACATACATTTGAGCTGCGAGTTAGGCTTACCTTAGCCTGGTTAATGAGAAGCCCCACAAATGTGGACACCAGCATAGAGCGAGACATCGTCGGACTTTTTCTCCGCATATCCTGCTTGATGAAAGGGAAAGCTGACGCCGGCGGTTCCTCTGGGACAGTGACCGTGTACGACTGTCGTATACTCGGCATTATGGCTGGAGAAAACTAGCGGAATAAACGGCGCAATGTGACTTGATAACACCAAAGCCACGGTATTCCTGCGTGTCAGCGAAGATCCTCTTTTAATGCAGTCGCTTATTGTATTCCTCAGGTGATATTCTTGTCATACACTATGCTCAGTCTATGTCCTTGGGCTCACGGGAGCTTAACATTCACGAATAATGGGGACGAATCGCGCAGGTTGAATACAATAAATAATTAAATAGAAAAAGAAAGACACACAATTGGACTAAAGCGACTCGCGTTTAAATGCTCCGTAGAGCGGTTCGTTCGGTATTCAGCCGGCTTGAGCGCGGAGCGTCAGATATCAGCAGAGGAATAATGGATAAGTCCGTGTGCTTTTTGCTTTTACTCGCGCGAGCGCACGCCCCCTCGGCACAAGAGAGACGTCACAAACGCCTCATGCCCTCCTGACGTCACCCAGCAGAGGACAAGAACTTCCCATTCATCTGTGACAGCAACACTGGACACACAACCAGAGCATGTCCATGCAACGACGGTGTGTTATTCTGACATTTATATTTATGTAACATTTTACTTGAAACCTGTATAAATTATTAATGTATGTAGATGTATTCATACACGGTTAAATACAGGATGTTGCACAAAATAATGTGAAGACCCATTAATATAGGGGTTAATAGAATTTGTGTAGGCTATAGTGAAAAAATAAACATTGCAATTATCATTTATTTATCTTTTCGTTGTCTATATTCCCTAGGTTGTATATCAGTCTAATACAATTTGTGTTCAGCAGTGTTCAGTAGAAGCTGTGGGTGAAATTGGTGACTTGTCAGGCTTCCAAAAAAGGCAAATCATGGGAGCCCATTTACCAGGAGCATCTGAAATCTTAACAGCCTAATTGATTGGTATTTTAAGATCAACAGTCTTTACACTTATGACTGCGTATATGCAAGACGTCATCAGTGATGAAGAACAGTGGTTGGAAACCGAAAGTGAATGATAGGGTACACTAAGAAGGATTGTGTCCAAACAACACAGAACTACTGCAGAAAAGTGACCGCAAACCTTTGTTTTGAAGGTGAAGACAGTATTCACTTTCAAAGCCCTGTTTCCACAAAAACCGACCACAGAGAACTTCACCAACATGCATAGAAGGTGCTGCAACTGCTAAAACTTTCATCACTGACACCAATGCTATAACATGCAAAAAAGATTATGATTATCATAAAACCTGGACAGAGCACCAGGTGTTCTGGTTTTGTGTAATTTCTCACATATTTTTCTACCAGTTTGTCAGATACTTACCTCAGTGTATTGCCAGCTCATAGGCTGAAGTGAGACTAATTGTAGGACTTTGCACATTTATAAAGCCTCCCTATTCAAGTTATTCTTTAGAATAACCCAAGGGGTTATAAAGCGTACAGTCAGATGTTGAAGGAGTCATTCACTGTCTGCCCCTATCGAACATCTGAATTAAATGTACATTTCCTTACACAAAAATCTCTCAAAATATTTCTTATTTTCAAGGTATTTATTCTTGTTTCATTTTTGTTTGTTTTAGCATTATTTGCTTTTGTGGAAATATATTTTATATTATATTAGATATTTTTAGTCCAGTATTTAAATATTTTGTTATATACAAATAAGAACAACCATGAAATGTACTTTTAAATAAATAAAAGGGCATTTTCTATTTAAAATGTAATAGTAAAATTCATTTTTGTTTTGCATGATTTTCTTTTGCAGAAATATATCAGTCAATTATATTATATTATATGTTGTATTTATCAGTCTTGGCATTTCAATATTTTAAAATGCATCTTTAAGGGAATTTTCTACTTAATATAATGTAATAGAACATGTTGTGTGATGTGGTTGGTAGCACCATGACTCAATTTGTTACTAACATTACTCTAAATCTATCCTCCAGTGACCCTATTACCTCACCCTAAATTGCTCCACTCTAAAGGCCCAGCAGACCAGTGACCCAGAAGCAGCTGCGGGGCAATTTGTGTGGGAACAACGGCAAAAGTCCTAGTGGTGTTTCTCTAAAGCTCTCCTGTGTCTTTTCACCAGCCTATTATGTAAGCACCATCTAAAGCATGGCAGAGCTGGCCTATTCTGTGCAAATAATGGCATTCATCTTATGAAACACACTCTGAATCAAGCTTATATAAGAGCTGTTTGAAGCTGTGTGCTGAGCCTTATATTCATGCCAGCCACAATCCACATCATCAGTGATGGACATGCCAAAGCATCGCCATCTCGCTGCCACAACTAACAGATGTGCTTATGTGAGAGAGACACACTCAAAACGAATTAGAGGGGCTGTCTGTTTGGAAGAGATCTGAATAACAGGCCTCTGTATAAACAAACCAGAGTGGCACCATGAGCACAAAAGGAGAGTGTGCCTTCGGAGAGCACACATAATCACAACAGAGGGCATCTACAAATACAGTAACTCCCTCTGACTATTACAGATTCAGATTTATTCTGTGGGTCAGTCTCATGAAAACATCTCCATGTCCCATTTCACCCCAAATTCAAAAGCAAAAAAGAAGGTATGCTTAAAAAATACAATTGATAAAAATGTATTTTTAGAATCATTACTATGTTTTTGCATTGGCTTGCAGTTATAAGCATATTTAATTTTTGCCCTCAAAGTTTCATTACCATACAAACAGTATTGCTATATATACACACACACACGCGCACATTTTTTGTGTTTCCTCAGTAATGTTTCCTATTTTATTCTTCTCATTTTTAAGAAAATGAAAGTAAATAAAAAAATCATATTCCTAGATTAATGCAGACAGATTAACAACATGATTGCAAAATGTTGGCTATTCATTATGTTTAATGACATGGAAACAAAACAAACTATATTATGACTTTATATAATATTATGACTACATACTGTACTTTATTATATACTTATTTTGTAATGCGTATTTATTTACCCATAAATTCAATAAAATCTGACACAATAATATAGGAAATGTTTTTTCAAATGAAATTATCTTCATTTGGGTTAAGTCCTAAAATTGTTTGATTTTTAATTTAATTTTAATATATATATATATATATTTTTTTGTAGTTTGCTCTTTCTGAGACATACAACACATTCTGGTCCACAGAAAATAAAAAAGTAATGCTTCCTGTGATTCCTTATTAAAAACATTATTAGGGCAGCAGAAGAGCAAAAAGCGCATATCTGGGGTGGAATTAAATGCCTTGCACAAGTATTTACCCTGCAAAAGCAGTACACATGCCATGAATGACTGGTGTTTACATAACTGAGCTAATCAGCATGCAGGGCTGTTGCACAATAGGCCTCCAGTTAGACTGGCACAGAGGTCATTGCTCACTGCTCAGGGAACCAACCAGTGGAGCCTGGCATGCTTGGAGGATTTAAGCCCAAAAAGAGTGAGAATAATTGGGTGTGAGCCTTTGTTCAACAGTGGTTTATTCTAATTTAATTATTAACTGTCAGAAGTCCTGGAGTTAGTAGATAAAGTGTCAAATCAGCACAGAAGAGTGCTAATGTTGATGGAAAGATACCAGAGGACAGCGGAAAAAAAGAAAGAAAGATAGAAGCATATCCTCTCAATTCTGCCACTGTTCACAAAACATGCACACAGGTGGATGACAGAAGAAGAGAAAAATAGAAAGGCTGCATGTGTTTGAGACTATAATAAGCAGCAGTCCTCGACGCAGACAGAGTGATGTCACCAGAACCACTGCAGTGACTCATTCTGAACCCGCCAGTCAAAAATAGACCAAAACATCACACTGACCTCTAAACGCTTCCAATACACACCCACAACACAACACATCACAACATGACAAACATCACAGTGACCTCTAAATTATTCAAACAGTGCACTCCACTCGGCACACAACAGGCAGAGCAACAGAACTCATCACTTAACAGGCTTAGTGAGAACAAAGGAAAATAACTTTTAAAAATATGGATTAAAACACATGTGACAAGTTCTTCATTTCATTCATATGGTTTTGAAACACCTTTATATCATTTTCAGGAAAAGTTGAAATGTAATGAAGTAAAAAGTAATAGCAGGAAGGAATACATACCTTGAATACATGAGTGTACACATATTAATCATTATTTTTAATATTATATAATATATACATTTTTAATATACTTTGTTCACATATCGTACTGTTTTTCGTCAACTATATAGTAGAGAAGCAGACGATCTCAGAAGCAGCCACTGTCATCAGAGTCTGCAGGGGTCCTCTCTCTGATGTCATTTCCTGATTCATTTAGCTTTTTCTGTATGTTTCTGCATGTTGATTAGTTCACATAACTTTAACAGGCAAAATATTTTCAAGTATTACGAAGCACTAAAACAGTTGAAGATAGTAATTTTAATAGTAGTAGTTTTTTTTTCATAAAAGATTATGGCACTAGTTAATAAGGTTTGCTCTTAATTATGACATCAGAAGTCAGCATAATTGTATCACCCTGACATTTTTGACTTTATGCCATCCAAAAATATAAAAAATGTAATCTTAATTTAATTATTCTAAATAAATTAATAGATCAGTGTCACATCATTGACCTGACTAACTTTAATAGACCTTTAGGGGTGGATTTTTTAAATTAAGTTAGTTCTCAACCACGAGCAATGCCCTAGTTACCACCCACAACTCCCTAGCATTGCAGCTGTGGTTTCTGCACCTGCATATGCCACCTACATTATCTCGAGAAAATGTACAATCTAATTCGCAATTACAGTCTTCAGTATCACTATTTGCTGTTAGACGTCATGACCTACAAAACTGTACTTTAATGACTTCCTGATACTTAAAGGGTTAGTTCACCCATTAATTACTCACCCTCGTGTTGTTCGAAACCCGTAAGACCTTCGTTCATCTTCGGAATACAATTTAAGACATTTTTGATGAAATCTGAGGGCTCTCTGACCCTCCCATAGACAGCAAGGTAACTACCAAGTTCAAGGTCCAGAAAAGTACCAAGATGATCGACAAAGTAGTCCGTGTGACATCAGTGGTTCAACTGTAAAGTTACGAAGCTACGAGGATACATTTTTGCGTAAAGAAAACAAAAATAACAACTTTATTCCACATTTTCGTCTCTACTGCGTCACTTTGGACGCGCGTTCACGACAGTATCATGACGCTCGCGTCATGATACTGTCGTGAAGGAGGGTCAGAGAGCCCTCATATTTAATCAAAAATACCTTAAATTGTGTTCCGAAGATGAACGAAGGTCTTACGGGTTTCGAACAACACGAGGGTGAGCAATTAATGACAGAATTTTCATTTTTGGGTGAACTAACCCTTTAAGAATATTGCACATTTTC